GCTTTGGATAAAAGCGTCTGCTAAATGGCATATTATTAATTGATATGGCGTATAATCCTCTACATGACTTTGATACGCTTCGTGGGGATTACGAAGTGGGTATGCGCAATGCCCACTAAAATATAAGTGGGTGGAATACCTGTGTATGCCCTCCACTACACTACTGGAAAGAAAGATGTTATGTAGAACAAACATGCATTCTAAATAATCATGTCAGTTCTGTTCATGGCATTTCTATCTGCAATGGTCCAAAACGTTTTTGTACTGAACATGCCAATACACAACATACTATACTGAACAAATATATAAATGCAACATGCAACAATTTCAATGATTTTACTGAGTTACAGTTCATATAAGGAAATCAGTTAATTGAGATAAATTCATTAGGCCCTAATCTATGTATTGACTGGGTAGGGGTGCACCCACTGGGGAGCCAGCCCCAGCCAATAAGAATGAGATTTTCCCCACAAAAGTGCTTTATTACAGACAGAAATACTCCTCAGGTTCATCAGCTGTTCAGGTGGATCCCGCAGGTGAAGAAGCTGGATGTGGAGGTCCTGGGCTGGCGTGGTTACACGTGGTTAGCGGTTGTGAGGCCGGTTGGACGTACTGCCAAATTCGGCTTATGGTAGAGAAATTAACATTCAATAGTCCTGCAGTCAGCATGCCAATTGCACGCTCCCTCAAAACTTGAGACATCTGTGGCATTGTGTTGTGTGACGAAACTGCACATTTTATTGTCCTCAGCACAAGGTGCACCTGTGTAATGATCATGCTGTTGAATCAGCTTCTTGATATGCCACACCTGTCAGGTGGATGGATTCTTTGGCAAAGGAGAAATGCTCACTAACAGGGATGTAAACAAATGTGTGCACAAAATTTGAGAGAAATAAGCTTTTTGTGCGCATGGAAAATGTCTGGGATCTTTTATTTCAGCTCATGAAACATGGGACCAACACTTTACATGTTGCGTTTATATTTTTGTTCAGTATATATACGAACCCGCTCTGCCTATAGTCTGTCTGGAAAGCCTCCACAAATGAAAACGTGTGGTGGACCTCAGACAGGGGCTTCTCCATAGATCAGGGGTCATCAACTAGATTCAGCTGCTGGCAGATTTGTTCATGAGCGAATGGTCATGGGACCGGAACATAATTATAAATAATTTGTAGACTGCAAATTGACCGCAAGAAGCCCAAACAGATATAATATTTGACTAAAACATAACCATATCAAATGCTTGCTTATGTTTGAATAGGGTCACATATACAGTGAGGGAAAAAAGTATTTGATCCCCTGCTGATTTTGTACGTTTGCCAACTGACAAAGAAATGATCAGTCTATAATTTTAATGGTAGGTTTATTTGAACAGTGAGAGACAGAATAACAACAACAAAATCCAGAAAAATGCATGTCAAAATGTTATAAATTGATTTTGCATTTTAATGAGGAAATAAGTATTTGACCCCTCTGCAAAACATGACTTAGTACTTGGTGGCAAAACCCTTGTTGGCAATCACAGAGGTCAGACATTTCTTGTAGTTGGCCACCAGGTTTGCACACAGGGATTTTGTCCCACTCCTCTTTTCAGATCTTCTCCAAGTCATTAAGGTTGAGGCTGACGTTTGGCAACTCGAACCTTCAGCTCCCTACACAGATTTTCTATGGGATTAAGGTCTGGAGACTGGCTAGGCCACTCCAGGACCTTAATGTGCTTCTTCTTGAGCCACTCCTTTGTTGCCTTGGCCGTGTGTTTTGGGTCATTGTCATGCTGGAATACCCATCCACGACCCATTTTCAATGCCCTGGCTGAGGGAAGGAGGTTCTCACCCGAGATTTGACGGTACATGGCCCCGTCCATCGTCCCTTTGATGCGGTGAAGTTGTCCTGTCTCCTTAGCAGAAAAACACCTCCAAAGCATAATGTTTCCACCTCCATGTTTGACGTGGGGATGGTGTTCTTGGGGTCATAGGCAGCATTCCTCCTCCTCCAAACACGGCGAGTTGAGTTGATGCCAAAGAGCTCGATTTTGGTCTCATCTGACCACAACACTTTTACCCAGTTCTCCTCTGAATCATTCAGATGTTCATTGGCAAACTTCAGACGGGCCTGTATATGTGCTTTCTTGAGCAGGGGGACCTTGCGGGCGCTGCAGGATTTCAATCCTTCACGGCGTAGTGTGTTACCAATTGTTTTCTTGGTGACTATGGTCCCAGCTGCCTTGAGATCATTGACAAGATCCTCCCGTGTAGTTCTGGGCTGATTCCTCACCGTTCTCATGATCATTGCAACTCCACGAGGTGAGAACTTGCATGGAGCCCCAGGCCGAGGGAGATTGACAGTGCTTTTGTGTTTCTTCCATTTGCGAATAATCGCACCAACTGTTGTCACCTTCTCACCAAGCTGCTTGGCGATGGTCTTGTAGCCCATTCCAGCCTTGTGTAGGTCTACAATCTTGTCCCTGACATCCTTGGAGAGCTCTTTGGTCTTGGCCATGGTGGAGAGTTTGGAATCTGATTGATTGATTGCTTCTGTGGACAGGTTTCTTTTATACAGGTAACAAACTGAGATTAGGAGCACTCCCTTTAAGAGTGTGCTCCTAATCTCAGCTCGTTACCTGTATAAAAGACACCTGGGAGCAAGAAATCTTTCTGATTGAGAGGGGGCCAAATACTTATTTCCCTCATTAAAATGCAAATCAATTTATAACATTTTTGACATGCGTTTTTCTGGATGTTTTTGTTGTTATTCTGTCTCTCACTTTTCAAATAAACCTACCATTAAAATTATAAACTGATCATTTCTTTGTCAGTGGGCAAACATACAAAATCAGTAGGGGATCAAATACTTTGTTCCCTCACTGTATCTCTCTATTATGTGTGGGGATACTTTGGAACAGATTTCCAAAATGTTAATCACTTGGAGCTGATTTGCTGGTGTTTTTACAGTATTTTATGTCCAACAATAAGATAATAATAAATAAATAAAACAATTGTTTTTTCTTTTGCTCAGCAAACTTGGGGGGGGAAATAAAATGACCTGCGGGCCAAATGTTGATCCACGGGCGGCCAGACAGAGCTCCGCCTGAGATACACCCTGTCATGTGACCCGCTGTCTAGCATGCATCTATAAATTCACCTCAATGTAGTGCGCTCGTCCTTTCCTGACTACACTGGCCTGTCCAACCTGCTGGTCCTTTCCTGACTACACTGGCCTGTCCAACCTGCTCGTCCTTTCCTGACTACACTGGCCTGTCCAACCTGCTCGTCCTTTCCTGACTACACTGGCCTGTCCCATCTACAGAGGTGCTGCAACTTCTACTAGCAATATGGCGACAGGTACGTGACGGTTTGTTACCATCTAAACCTTGGAAGGTTGGCTGTGGCAGCCACGGGGGAAACTAAGTAACTTGTCATGATTGTTCCCACTGTCAGAGGATAAAACAAGTAGCAACAATATCCGTCGTATGTAAATGAGGGATGGCAGGAAAGTAGAGAAATGTACAACTTGGTTTGTTGCCGTTTTCTGGTTTTTTTTGTCGGTCGGTGGAAAATGGCAACGCAAAGTCGCTTATCTTTAAAGTCCCTTTTCCGCTTTCCATCACCGCGTGTCTAGTTGACTTAATATCGAAAGGTTTTACGGCTGTGTGGATATCGGAGTAGGATCATTGTTGGCTCAATGAGTTTTGCTGTTGCTCAGTGTCGCCCTAGTTGTAACCCCATATTCACACGTAGCCGAGGCCGCCGATAGCGGGCGCTATAGTCTGGGATTGATACACTCATGGACCGGCTCATACATAAAACGTCCTCCATTCAGGCTGCAAAGGTATCATTTTCTTCCTCAGTCACACTCAACCTGCGTAACTTAAATGAGAATTATTTCATCGTTAACCAGAAGTTTTGGCCCTAGTTAGTGAAACGAGTCAATTCTGGCCAATTAATTTTTAGGATTTCTGGTATCAAATCCTATATGCCATTGTGCCCTTAAACAAGGCACTGAACACCCCCACAACAGCACCCTGGACGCCCAGTGGGGCAACCCGCCCCACCCTCCCACGCACCTCTCCAAAACCTGTCTTTTCTAGTGGGTTGGTTAGAACTAAATGTCTGTCTATGGCTGACTACTATAGAAGTGTGTGTACCAACTGCCTATCAAAGTACATTCTCTTCACTGGAGTGTACATTTAAATTCAGCTGGTAGCAGTGATTCAGTTTAACTTTTTTTTTTGGGGCCAGATTTATTTGGTGTTTCATCAAATGAAATTGTATTGGCCACATGCGCCGAATACAACAGGTGTAGACATTACCGTGAAATGCTTACTTACAGCCCTTAACCAACAACGCGTTTATTTTTTAATAGAAAAGTAAAATAAAACAACAACAAAAAAGTGTTGAGAGAGAAAAAGAGCAGAAGTAAAATAAAATAACAGTAGGGAGGCTATATATACAGGGGGGTACCGGTGCAGAGTCAATGTGCGGGGGCACCGGCTAGTTGAGGTAATATGTACATGTGGGTAGAGTTAAAGTGACTATGCTTAAATATCTAACAGAGTAGCAGCAACGTAAAAAGATGGGGTGGAGGTGGGGGGGGGCAGTGCAAATAGTCCGGGTAGCCATGATTAGCTGTTCAGGAGTCTGATGGCTTGGGGGTAGAAGCTGTTGAGAAGCCTCTTGGACCTAGACTTGGCGCTCCGGTACCGCTTGCCATGCGGTAGAAGAGAGAACAGTCTATGACTAGGGTGGCTGGAGTCTTTGACAATTTTTAGGGCCTTCCTCTGACACCGCCTGGTATAGAGGTCCTGGATGGCAGTAAACTTGGCCCCAGTGATGTACTGGGCTGTACGCACTACCCTCTGTAGTGCCTTGCGATCGGAGGCCAAGCAGTTACCATACCAGGCGGTGATGCAACCAGTCAGGATGCTCTCGATGGTGCAGCTGTATAACTTTTTGAGGATCTGAGGAACCCCATGCCAAATCTTTTCAGTCTCCTGAGGGGGAATAGGCTTTGTCGTGCCCTCTTCACGACTGTCTTGGTGTGTTTGGACCATGATAGTTCGTTGGTAATCTGTGGTCCTCTGTAGCTCAATTGGTAGAGCATGGCGCTTGTAACGCCAGGGTAGTGGGTTCGATCCCCGGGACCACCCATACGTAAAAATGTATGCACACATGACTAAGTCGCTTTGGATAAAAGCGTCTGCTAAATGGCATATTATTATATTATATTATGATGTGGACACCAAGGAACTTGAAGCTCTCAACCTGTTCCACTACAGCCCCGTCGACGAGAATGGGGGCGTGCTCAGTCCTCTTTTTTTTTTTTTTCCTGTAGTCCACAATCATCTCCTTTCTTATAATTTAACATCAGCTGTTTTCTTGGGACCAATGGCAATACGGGGTGGGAGAGACTGGGAGGTACAGTTGGAAAACACATAATTACATTTGTCTTAATCCTAGACTCTGGTTTTGGGCCCATCTATGCTTGGTCACGTCGCTTGGTTTTGGTCATATTAGTGTCACTGCCTGGTTTGCATTCCTACAGCTGTCACGTGGCTGCGTTTTTTTTATCTAGCTTCACTGCCTGGTTTGGCTCTAATTACTCGCTTTTTTGGGACCATCACTGTCACTGACCTGGTTTGGCATCAAACTGTCACTGTTTCTGTTTGGTCTAGCTGTCACTGCCTGGTTTGGCATCTAGCTGTCACTGTGCCTGGTTTGGCATCTGAACACCATTTGAGGTTTTGCATCCAGTGGTTTCTTTTTACCAGGGAGTTATCCAGTTGGCCCCCAAGACCAACTGCAGTGTAGTGTTTTAATATACGCAGGGGATTGTTTTACTGACCAGCCAGGCCTGCTAATATTAACTGCCAGTTTTTACATTTGGCATTATAATAACATGAATCTATTTGTCCTTTGCCAGCTTATAATCAATCCCATTGTTGAGTCTATGGCCAGTTTATAGATTTTCCTACAGTGTGTCAAAGTTGACGTCATCAAGCCCTTGGCCATTCTGGCATCAATGTTAGAACAACCGTTGCCACAGACCGTTGGACGTCATCACTCCCTCACTGAAGTAATGTGTTAGGGACTGTCTTTTTTAACCTGCGATACCTATTATGAACACTAGAGCCTTTGGTTTGAGACCCTGTAATGAGTCACGCCTTACAAAGCAGTTTTTTTGGGAAGGTTTTAAGAGGTTATAGCAATGAAGTAAATGTACCTCTGGATTCATACCATTTGAACCTAATGGAGAATGTTATTAATACGTTCTGTCCCCCACCCAGACCAGGCGTTTGTGACGCTGGCCACCAATGACAGCTATGCCAGGGGAGCCATGGTGCTGGGCAAGTCCCTGAGGAACCACAAGACAACCAGGAAGCTGGTGGTGATGATCGGACCCCACGTCTCTGACCCCTGCAAGTAAGAACCTCTTTTTAAAGTAGAAGTTTGCTTTTACAATCTAATCTCTATTTTTTTTATGTAAATAGAATGTTCTAGAAGGGTGTAGAAAACCTTTTTGCGATTTCACTTGTTGTTGAGTAATTTACCTCCAACCAGGGATTCATTTCATCATCCTCATTGTGTAGTAAGGGACTCTGGGGGGGGGAAATGAACAAAATCTCCAAAAACACCCAAATATGTTCTTTTAGAAACGGAAAAGCTTTCAATGTAGCGACGCAGTTCTTTACATGTTGTACACATGACATCGTCATTCCTAACTTTATCCCCAATGTTATATTCAGAGCGACACCCCTCCATCCATTCTACAGGCCACTGCCTAAAATAAGGAAACACAAGTGAATGAGGGATACACAGGATATTGCAGGAGCTTCCACACAGGACATTCCAGACACTGTTCTGGTGGCTGGTGGTGGCCCAACGCCCTGTTCTGGTGGCTGGTGGTGGCCCAACGCCCTGTTCTGGTGGCTGGTGGTGGCCCAACGCCCTGTTAAGGTGGCTGGTGGTGGCCCAACGCCCTGTTAAGGTGGCTGGTGGTGGCCCGACGCCCTGTTAAGGTGGCTGGTGGTGGCCCAACGCCCTGTTAAGGTGACTGGTGGTGGCCCAACGCCCTGTTAAGGTGGCTGGTGGTGGCCCAACGCCCTGTTAAGGTGGCTGGTGGTGGCCCAACGCCCTGTTAAGGTGCTGGTGGTGGCCCAACGCCCTGTTAAGGTGGCTGGTGGTGGCCCAACGCCCTGTTAAGACGGCTGGTGGTGGCCCAACGCCCTGTAAGTGCTGGTGGTGGCCCAACGCCCTGTTACATGGGTGGCCACGCCTGTTCGTGGTGGCCCAACCCCCTGTTCCAACGGCTGGTGGTGGCCCAACGCCCTGTTAACGGCTGGTGGTGGCCCAACGCCTGTTCTGGTGGTGGCCCAACGCCCTGTTCTGGTGGTGGCCCAACGCCCTGTTAAGGTGGCTGGTGGTGGCCCAACGCCCTGTTAAGGTGGCTGGTGGTGGCCCAACGCCCTGTTAAGGTGGCTGGTGGTGGCCCAACGCCCTGTTAAGGTGGCTGGTGGTGGCCCAACGCCCTGTTAAGGTGGTGGTGGTGGCCCCAACGCCCTGTTAAGGTGGCTGGTGGTGGCCCAACGCCCTGTTAAGGTGGCTGGTGGTGGCCCGACGCCCTGTTAAGGTGGCTGGTGGTGGCCCGACGCCCTGTTAAGGTGGCTGGTGGTGGCCCGACGCCCTGTTAAGGTGGCTGGTGGTGGCCCGACGCCCTGTTAAGGGTGGCTGGTGGTGGCCCCTACGCCCTGTTAAGGTGGCTGGTGGTGGCCCGACGCCCTGTTAAGGTGGCTGGTGGTGGCCCGACGCCCTGTTAAGGTGGCTGGTGGTGGCCCGACGCCCTGTTAAGGTGGCTGGTGGTGGCCCAACGCCCTGTTAAGGTGGCTGGTGGTGGCCCAACGCCCTGTTAAGACACTATGTTGCTGTTTCCTTTATTTTGGCAGTTACCTGCAACAGGCTACACAGAGAATGGCACGGCTGGATAGGGAAAAGGCTGGAGTGGCATGAAAAATTATATAACACTGCAGATAGTTTGGAATGACACGATTTCATCTTTTTGTTAGCGATACCATTAGGTACATTTTGTTTTGGTTTTTTTTGGAACCGTAATTGGTGACATATTTTGAACCTATTCCCAACATTTGACAGTTTCTAACAGTACTAAGCATATGTTTGTAGGACTTAAGAGTTTTGAAACAAAATGTACTTTGAGGGTAGTGTACAATAAGATGACCTGTTTAGAAAATGCCCCACAGGGTGTCGGAGTGGAGTACCCCGTCTTAGTTTGGCATGATGCCTCACTGTACCCCGTCTTACCCTAGAGGTGTATCATGATATCCCCTGGCCTCACTGTACCCCGTCTTACCCTAGAGGTGTATCATGATATACCCTGGCCTCACTATACCCTAGAGGTGTATCATGATATGCCCTGGCCTCACTGTACCCCCGTCTTACCCTAGAGGTGTATCATGATATGCCCTGGCCTCACTGTACCCCCGTCTTACCCTAGAGGTGTATCATGATATGCCCTGGCCTCACTATACCCTAGAGGTGTATCATGATATGCCCTAGAGGTGTATCATGATATGCCCTGGCCTCACTGTACCCCGTCTTACCCTAGAGGTGTATCATGATATGCCCTGGCCTCACTATACCCTAGAGGTGTATCATGATATGCCCTGGCCTCACTGTACCCTAGAGGCGTATCATGATATGCCCTGGCCTCACTGTACCCTGTCTTACCCTAGAGGTGTATCATGATATGCCCTGGCCTCACTGTACCCTAGAGGTGTATCATGATATGCCCTAGAGGTGTATCATGATATGCCCTAGAGGTGTATCATGATATGCCCTAGAGGTGTATCATGATATGCCCTAGAGGTGTATCATGATATGCCCTAGAGGTGTATCATGATATGCCCTAGAGGTGTATCATGATATGCCCTAGAGGTGTATCATGATATGCCCTAGAGGTGTATCATGATATGCCCTGGCCTCACCATATGAAGCTGACTCATCACTACTGCACTTATTCAGAATGCTGTCCAATCAGAAGGCTTTCCTCTGCACACCATATTCACAGTACATTATGTCTGCTCCTCTCTCCTCCTACCAGAGGAGTGCTTCACAAGATCTTTGACGAGGTGCTGCTGGTGGATGTGTTGGACAGCGGAGACGCAGCTCACCTGGCCCTGATGAAGAGACCGGACCTGGGAGTCACCTTCACCAAGCTACACTGCTGGACTCTTACCCACTACTCCAAATGTGTCTTCATGGACGCAGACACAATGGTGAGACCCTATGGACCCTGTCTATACACACTCCCCCCTATGGACCCTGTCTATACACACTCCCCCCTATGGACCCTGTCTATACACACTCCCCCCTATGGACCCTGTCTATACACACTCCCCCCTATGGACCCTGTCTATACACACTCCCCCCTATGGACCCTGTCTATACACACTCCCCCCTATGGACCCTGTCTATACACACTCCCCCCTATGGACCCTGTCTATACACCACATATGTCAGAGTCAAGGCCCGCGGGCCGGATGAGAAGGTTTTTTACGGCCCCTGGGATGATCTTGATTTATTATTAGAACCGGCCCGCAGACCGCAGCAAGCCGGCAGCCCGCAGATCTTTTACACGCACCAATACTATATGCGTCAAGATACGGGAAAAGATGCAAGAGGAAAACGCGACAGGTGAGCTGACAGCTTATCATTGTATCATACACCAGGAAGCGTTGTGCGGTAAAGCCTTGAAAATGGAGCATGTAATGAGCATCATCACGCGCACAGTTAACTTTATCAGAGCCAAAGGTTTGAATCACCGCCAGTTCAAGGCATTTCTGACGGAGTTAGAAACGGAGCATGGTGATTTGCCTTATCACACAGAGGTGCGATGGCTAAGCCAGGGAAAGGTGCTTCAAAGATGTTTCGAGCTTCGTGAGGAGATTTGTCTGTTCTTGGACAGCAAAGGGAAAGACACAACACAACTCCGAGACGAAATGTTTCTGTGTGAAATGGCTTTTCTGTGTGACATTACGAGTCATCTGAATGCAATGAACTTGCAGCTGCAGGGTCGGGATCATGTCATCTCTGATATGTACAGTACAGTGAAGGCATTTAAAACCAAACTGACTCTGTGGGAGACGCAGATGCGGAAAGAAAATTTGAGCCACTTTCCCAGCTGCCAGACCATGAAAGAGAAGCTCTCTACCAGTGCGTTCCCGAGCGCACAGTTGGCTGATAAAATATGTATGCTTGCCGCTGACTTTCGACGCCGATTTGCTGACTTTGAAGCACAAAAAAGCAGGTTGGAACTGCTCGGTAACCCATTTGCTGTTGACGTGGAAAGCTCACCACCAAACCTCCAAATGGAGTTGATTGACCTCCAATGCAATGATGCACTGAGGGCAAAATATGCGGCAGTGGGTGCTGCGGAGTTCGCCCGTTTCCTCCCCGACACAATGCCCCAGCTGCGCATCCAGGCTGCTCAAACGTTGTCTATGTTTGGCAGCACATACCTGTGTGAACAACTGTTTTCTTTGATGAACCTGAACAAAACATCACACAGAAGTCGACTTACTGCTGAACACCTCCACTCAATTCTGAGGATTTCCTCAGCTCAGAGCCTTACCCCGAACATTGATGAACTTGTGGAAAAGATGGGACACCACCAAGTATCACCCTCAACCTCAAACAAGTGAACATTACTGTGCAATCACATATTTAGAGTTTTTACTCAGTTCAAGTTTAAAAGTTAAAGTTTAATATTTGTTTTCACTGCATGTTACTTCTCCTTAAACAAAGTGTTGTTTTTGATTAATAGATTTTTGCACTTTATTTTATTGTATTTCAATCCAATTATATTTTAAAAATATTTCAGTTGAGTGGATGATAGAAAATTGCTATTGTTTTTTTCTTTGAAGTAAATTTAGCCCACTTTTGCTAAAATAGAAAATATAGGCTACTGATGGTGCCTTGAATACCGGTTTCTTTCATTTAATGTTCATGTTATGGGGATTTTTATATAAAGGAAATTTGTCTTTTGTGTCTGAAAATTAAAGATTACTGACAGAGCCATAAGAAAATATTGCTTTATTTATCTGATCATATTGGAATATATTTGTTAGGTTTTCAGTAGGTTCAATTAGGTTCACTAGACTATATGCGTCATTTAAAAAATTTTCAATGAACATTCGAACAGTCCGGCCCTCGGCTTGTAGCTAAATTTTTTATTTGGCCCTCCGTCCATTTGACTTTGACACCCCTGCTATACACACTCCCCCCTATGGACCCTGTCTATACACACTCCCCCCTATGGACCCTGTCTATACACACTCCCCCCTATGGACCCTGTCTATACACACTCCCCCCTATGGACCCTGTCTATACACACTCCCCCCCCCCCCCCCTATGGACCCTGTCTATACACACTCCCCCCCCCCCCCCTATGGACCCTGTCTATACACACTCCCCCCCCCCCCCTATGGACCTGTCTATACACACTCCCCCCTATGGACCCTGTCTATACACACTCCCCCCTGTTCACCTGTATGTCCTCCTGGTTATCCAGGTGGTACAGTATATTTGACCTGTATGTCCTCCTGGTTATCCAGGTGGTACAGTATATTTGACCTGTATGTCCTCCTGGTTATCCAGGTGGTACAGTATATTTGACCTGTATGTCCTCCTGGTTATCCAGGTGGCTTCAGTATATTTGACCTGTATGTCCTCCTGGTTATCCAGGTGGTACAGTATATTTGACCTGTATGTCCTCCTGGTTATCCAGGTGGTACAGTATATTTGACCTGTATGTCCTCCTGGTTATCCAGGTGGTACAGTATATTTGACCTGTATGTCCTCCTGGTTATCCAGGTGGCTTCAGTATATTTGACCTGTATGTCCTCCTGGTTATCCAGGTGGCTTCAGTATATTTGACCTGTATGTCCTCCTGGTTATCCAGGTGGTACAGTATATTTGACCTGTATGTCCTCCTGGTTATCCAGGTGGCTTCAGTATATTTGACCTGTATGTCCTCCTGGTTATCCAGGTGGCTTCAGTATATTTGACCTGTATGTCCTCCTGGTTATCCAGGTGGTACAGTATATTTGACCTGTATGTCCTCCTGGTTATCCAGGTGGTACAGTATATTTGACCTGTATGTCCTCCTGGTTATCCAGGTGTACGTATATTTGCCTGTTGTCCTCTGGTTATCCAGGTGGTTTGATGTTCTGATTGTATGTCTCTGTCTGTAGTTATGCCTGGCCTCCTGTTATAGGTGGTCGATATTGCTGTATCCGTTAGTGTCATATGACCTGACCTGGTTTCAATTCCAGGTCGTAAGAGTTTGTTACTGTAGGTGTCCTCCTGGTTCCAGGGTAGGATGCTCGTCTCGAACGTTCGTATTTGCGTTCGTTTTTGTTGGCTAGTCTTTCAGTTGATGCTTTAGGGCCAGTATTTGATGTACCTGGTGGTGTACTTAGGTCTGGGTTCGTAGGTTTATGCTCTGCAGGGTTCGTAGTTGATGATGTCTGCGTCCGTCTGTGGTATCCTCGTGCTGTTTATTGGCTTTCTTTGGTCGTATGGATGCTCTCTAGGGCGCTGTCGTGGTTGATGCTCTTGGTCTGCTGTTCTGTAGTTGGTGTCTCTAGCGTTTGCGTTTGTAGTGTTTCTCTAGCGGTCTGCTGTTCTGTAGGTTGGAGCTCTCTAGCGGTCCTGTTTGTAGGTTGGTGCTCTCAGGTCTGTAGTTGGTGCTCCTACGTTGCTGTTCTTAGGTTGGTGCTCTCAGCGTCTGCTGTTCTGTAGGTTGGATGCTTCTAGGTCTTGTTTGTAGGTTGGATGCTCTCTAGCGGTCTGCTGTTCTGTAGGTTGGATGCTCTCTAGCTCTCGTTTGTAGGTTGGATGCTCTCTAGCGGTCGCTGTTCGTAGTTGGATGCTCTCTAGCGGTCTGCTGTTCTTAGGTTGGATGCTCTCTAGCGGTCTGTGGTTCTGTAGGTTGGATGCTCTCTAGCGGTCTGCTGTTCTGTAGGTTGGATGCTCTCTAGCGGTCTGCTGTTCTGTAGTTGGATGCTCTCTAGCGTTGCGTCTGTAGTTGGATGCTCTCTAGCTGGTCTGTAGGTTGGATGCTCTCTACGGTCTGCTGTTTGTAGGTTGGATGCTCTCTAGCGGTCTGCTGTTCTGTAGGTTGGATGCTCTCTAGCGTCTGCTGTTCTGTAGGTTGGATGCTCTCTAGCGGTCTGGTCTGTGTTGATCACAGTTGTTGTTGGATGCTCTCTAGCAGTCTGCTGTTCTGTAGGTTGGATGCTCTCTAGCGGTCTGCTGTTCTGTAGGTTGGATGCTCTCTAGCGGTCTGCTGTTCTGTAGGTTGGATGCTCTCTAGCGGTCTGCTGTTCTGTAGGTTGGATGCTCTCTAGCGGTCTGCTGTTCTGTAGGTTGGATGCTCTTAGGTTGGATGCTCTCTAGCGGTCTTCTGTTCTGTAGGTTGGATGCTCTCTAGCGGTCTGTGTAGTTGATTCTGTAGCGTCTGGTTGTAGTTGGATCTCTCTAGCGGTCTGCTGTTCTGTAGGTTGGATGCTCTCTAGCGTCTGCTGTTCTGTAGGTTGGATGCTCTCTAGCGGTCTGCTGTTCTGTAGGTTGGATGCTCTCTAGCGGTCGTGTTCTGGTTGTGCTTCTAGCGGTCTGTTGAGGTTGGATGCTCTCTAGCGGTCTGCTGTTCTGTAGGTTGGATGCTCTCTAGCGGTCTGCTGTTCTGTAGTTGGATGCTCTTGGGTTGTAGTTGGTGTCTTAGGGTCGTAGTTGGTGCTCTCTAGCGGTCTGCTGTTCTGTAGGTTGGATGCTCTCTAGCGGTCTGCTGTTCTGTAGGTTGGATGCTCTCTAGCGGTCTGCTGTTCTGTAGGTTGGATGCTCTCTAGCGGTCTGCTGTTCTGTAGGTTGGATGCTCTCTAGCGGTCTGCTGTTCTGTAGTTGGATGCTCTCTAGCGGTCTGCTGTTCTGTAGGTTGGATGCTCTCTAGCGGTCTGCTGTTCTGTAGGTTGGATGCTCTCTAGCGGTCTGCTGTTCTGTAGGTTGGATGCTCTCTAGCGGTTGCTGTTCGTAGGTTGGATGCTCTCTAGCGGTCTGCTGTTCTGTAGGTTGGATGCTCTCTAGCGGTCTGCTGTTCTGTAGGTTGGATGCTCTCTAGCGGTCTGCTGTTCTGTAGGTTGGATGCTCTCTAGCGGTCTGCTGTTCTGTAGGTTGGATGCTCTCTAGCGGTCTGCTGTTCTGTAGGTTGGATGCTCTC